TACTAAGGTTTCATCGGGGTAGCAGGACGGTGAGCCGAGGACTTCTTCGCACAATACAGCAGTCTTCCCTAAGCGGTTTTCGGTAAGACCACATCACGAATTTCTTCCTTCTAACTTTTTCTACATGTCATAATATATAACCCAGTTTTCCTTCGATTTTTCAAAGCGATAGATAATATTTATGTAGGACAGACATACATTTTTATAATATGAATACTGATTATGATGATAAAATTTCTTAGCGGTCTAAGAAACTTGCCTCATTGGAAAAAAAAGATATACAGGTAAAACTTTAGTCCCACATTATTTTGGTAAAAAAATTAGCCCATGAAGTAAGCGCTATAAGCAAAATAATATGCTTTTAGTTTTGTGATGAGATATGGAATTGAGAAGAATAAGCTTTTCATATAAATCGTCTGGTAAACATTTGAAAGAAATTAATGATGGAGCACAATATTATCCTTAGATAATAGTTTAGCACTGATATCAATAAACAATGCAAAAAATCGAAGATATGAAGACCAAGATTGTGTGGTCCCCTGTATGGTCGTAGTCTCCTTTCGATTTATAGAAGTGGGCTGACCTTGTTGTCGCAAATTGGCTTTGTCGTTCAGGAGACTTAGTAGAACGCACCTAGTCCAAAGTCCTCTGCCATAGTAGTTATCATAATTCCCAACATCAGACAGTGGACTGGGTACATTCTCAAACGTTTTACCGGCATCGTAGTCTGTATCATCCATGAGTGCTGCAATTCTCCTTTTTTCTTTGACGAGTTCGTAGCTTGGTGTACCAAGTCCACTGCCTGATGCTGGGAATTATGATAACTACTATGGCAGAGGACTTCAGGCTAGGTACGTTCTAATAAGTCTCCCGGCAAGAGCAAGTTGCGACAACAAGATCAACCCACTTCAAAAATAACTAATACTTCACAAGAAAAGGTAATAATATCGTAAATAAATCAAAGTATTCGTGAGTAAACAACGTATGAAGGACTGGACCTTTAGGTTAGGATTACAAGACTAAATTTGCTATGCTATATTGAACGAAAGCCTTTTTTGCAATCTGACCTATTTGTATGTAAATAATTTGCTTTCATTATGGTTAAAAATAACTCTATAATTAAAAATAAAAGGAGCAAAGGGATGTCTATTTAGTCTATAATGAACGAGAATACCAGTTCTTACAGACAATGCTACTAAAATCGTCGTAAAAGTTTCATGACTAATAATGAAATTGCTTAAGCCTAAAAAGGGTTACAACAGTAAATCATCAAGGGCTAAGTAAATATAGACGCCATAAAAGGATTGTAACCTAACCCTTAATATGAGGAATATGTAAATCTGAGTAACAATTTTTCACAATTAAATTTGAAGATGATCGTTTCTAAAGTCGAGTTAAAAAATATCATAAAATTAGCTGTTGACAGTCGTTCCCATATAAAAACCTACTTGGCGTCCTAATTGGGACACATCTAAGATGAGATTCTTCTAAGAAAGGCATCTGGCAGCTCGAAAGCCCAGAGTTCAAGTTAGTTTGGGTTTCTGCCGCCAGGCCTGGATCGAAAAAAGATATCGGCAATTGAATCAATTGAGACTCCTTAACTTCATCGTTCATAGAGTCTGTCATCTTTGTCAGGGCATTTATTTGTTGTTGTTGTTGCGTCAAGTCACAAATCTCCTTATCAACTAGAGTAAAATCTACACGTCTTCGCTTGCTCAAAGGAAATGCCAGATTGTTAGTCTCGTTCATCAAGTTTCTGCCAGGACGAAAATCTGATAAGGTTTTTCCATCGATAGTCTCAAAACCTAATCTTGGCTCGGACTTAACAGGATTAGAAAAATCGAGACCAAGGCTAGGCCGCGGCCGCTTCAAACCATGACTGAGAGAGACAGACGAAGCCCTGCCAAATGGAGTCCCTGGGCCTTGAATCTCATCAAAGAAAGTATTATGCTTCTCCCCAGGAAAGCCATTCGCTAAGCGAGGTGCAACAGTTTTGGCGTTGACATTTGTGTCAGATAACACTGTCAAGAGGGCTGATAAATGATCGCGGTAGTCGCGAGGTGTAGACAAGCCGAGAGAGAGTAGAGAAAAGGAAGATGGTAATCGGAAGTCTGCGGATGTAGCATACTCGTCCTGGAGACGGTAATGTCGCACGGCATGCAGGACGAGTGAAGGTGTAGTGAAGGCAAGGGCGGTCTGAAAGGATGCATAGAGAAAAGAAATAGGTTAAAAAGTAAGAGGTCATTGATTAGAATCGACAAAAAATAGCGAATTACTAGGCTTATTGTTTTGATTATGAGATTTATAAAAAAGATAATTTACATAACAAAATAGTTTCACTTAAAAAATCGTTTCCTATATATTTAAAATAACTATTACTGCAAAGCTTTTCTTACCAGATTGATCCAAAAACTTAAAGTAATTCAAATATAATTTCGACGCTTAATGATCGCCAAATACATGGTTATTTGATGGCATTCAAAAATTAAATTAAATAACAACTTTTTTTACCTGTTAAGAAAATTATGTGTAAATACATTGAGAATATAATTGACCCATAATGAGAATTAGAGCATCAAATATGATGTAATCAAGTTTAATTGGCAAGAGCCACTTTAAACTACTAGATGTGAGCTGTAATACGAAATTTTCAAACTTTTGATATTAGATTTAGCTAGGTAAGACAAAAAAACAACAGAATTAGTAAACGATGAAGTCCAACCCACTGACCAGATCGTTGGATCATCGTTAGGTG